TGATATCATAGAATATAAGAACGATGGATTTTCTATGTAAATTTAAAAAAGTATTTTCGATTTTTAGACTCTTTATTTGACATTACAAAAACTAGTGAGAAGTAAACAAAACTAAACCCACTTACAAAAAAACAAATTATTTAAACATCATTATAAATAAAATCATTACAATTAATTAAGTGGTTTTTGAGAAAAAAGATCAATAGTTGTGCCAGAATTTGATGATGAAGACAAAATTTCCAATAAAAAGTAAGAAAGTGCTATTCCTACACAGGAAGAAAAGTAAGGATATTTTAACACCCTAAAGTTTTTTTAATGGCTGATAGGTTGAATCTATCCAACAAAGAAAGACCTGGGATCATTTTAGCTGTAGCTAAAGCATTAGGTCACAGTTTAGATGAAATATCTATTAGATTAAATACCTATTTGTTCTTTTGGATGAAATATCTTATAGAGAATTTTGATATTTGGTTTAAATGAAAACTCTGCAAGGAAAAAATTTTGAACTGAATAAGCGCGAATTTCTTAAGTACAAACTGGCATGAGTGCGAATGGAGGGAGTGCAAACTGGCGTAAGTGCGAACTTGCATAAGTGTGAACCGGCATAAGTGCAAAGCAGTTCCAAAAACTGGAACACGTGCAAACTGATATAAATGCAAACTGACATAAGTGCCCCAAAAGAATTTGCAAACTTTGGTATAAGTGCGAATTGACTTAAGTACGAAACAGTTCCAAAAACTGGCATAAGTGCAAACTAATATAAACGAAAACTGGCATAAGTGAGGCGAAAGAATTTGCAATAATAGGCATAATGGCACATTGACATAAGTGCGAAATGCTAATTCGCACTTATTGGCAATATTTGTAATTTTATTCGGCTCTCTTATGCTAATTCGCACTTATACCAGTTAGCATTTATGCCAATTTTGGTAACTGCTTCACACTTATGCCAGTTCACACTTACGGCAGTTCGCACTTACGGCAGTTCACACTTACGGCAGTTCGCACTTATACCAATGTTTGCAAATTCTTTTGACGCACTTATGTCAGTTTGCACTAATGCCAGTTCGCATTTATTCCAGTTTTTGCAACTGCTTCACACTTATGTCAGTTTGCACTTACGAAATTCAGCCTCCCGTTTTGAACTTTTTTGTTTTTTTTAGTAGTTGAATTTAGCGTAGCGTTACTTATGGGACGATCCCTAAAAAGTTTAAACAACTAAAGTGTTATAAGAAAATAGCGTTTACAAATAAATGTTTTGGAAAAACCAGTCGTTGTTTTTCCTTCATTATACCTTTACTTTTAAAATAGCGTAAAGTTTGTGTTTTAAAAATATTTTTTTTTCATAAGATATTGTAGCTAATCCTACACCAGCTAATTGCATTGTGGAGGCCACATTTCTAAGCCCCGCAAAGACAAGTTCAGCTCCCGAAGGAGCGTCATTACTTGCACTACGGACCGAAAGTAAAGTGAGTTTAGGAAGAACGAAGGTATGTTAAAGTGAAAGATAGAAGAAGTTGTGTTAGAAAGATAGCTTATAGAAAGAAGACAGGATTTGCACACGATGTTATAAGATGCAATAGTAGTATTAGTCAAACCGATAAAGACTTGAAGTGTTCACTAAATATGAACTCTTCCTCATCTTTCTTTGTCGTCTTTTTTTTTTCTTAAGCGTAAGGCATTATGGGATTGATATTCGGACAATGCACAGAATCAATAGAACTTCTTAAACACGCAAATGGTTGTGGGACTGATATTTGGGCGAGCACATTACTAAAACGATACGCTATCGCAATAAAGAGATTTAAAACTTAGATTTAAGTAGAACTAATCAAACTAAATGACTTCATAGAACAAATGAAAATTTTTATATTGACTGCTTATAAGTACAACTTTTATAAAAAGTATTGTTTTTATAACGGGTACCCGTAATTTATTTACCCATTCGTTAGACGGGTATCCGGGAAAAAATTTTCACAATTTTTGACAGCTCTAGTAACTTATGATTAATTTAATCTTTTTGTTCCGTAGGTAATTTTTAAAACAGGTATTTTGTAAAAAGAGATTTTCTATATTTTAAATTGAATGTAGAGACTAGCTGCAAAGTTTTGCTTTTAAAGTTACATATGAAGCACTTTTGTCGTGCCTAAAATAAAAAATTGCCTGATTTCTAAAGTCATACATCTACCTATTACGTTTACTGAAAAAATTAGTAATCTTGTAACAAATCTGTCTCCAGATTCGAAAGTTATCTAATGATTTTCACTCCGTGGTTTTGTTGCTTTTTTCAACATTGTCTAAAATTGTAACGTATTATTCCATAAAATTAATAAATAATTATGTTTTTAAGTTGAGGTTATTTTAATGAAAAATGTTAGCAACATAAATATGTAGCCTGAACATTCACATAAAGAGTATTTAAGAAAAATGCATAAAATTGGTTTTATACAGACAGTATTTAGCTTTTTTTTCATTTTTTATATATTGTAAAATCTTGTAACTATATTTGTTTGTTATAAACTTCGCATCTAACAAATACAAATTTTGTTTTATTCAGGTTTTATCGTTTTTAAAAATTAAAGATTTTTTTTGCATGTCTAATCAGGTTTTGATCTTCACAATATATAATAACTTGTTGCACGACAGAACTGATTGTTTTGTTAGGGATTATATTCAATAAAGAATTTTTATTCATGTAAGTCAAAAACTTGTCTATTAAAAAAATTTCCAAGAGTGCTTGTTGCTTTTTTTCTTAAACCAATATGATTTAAACACCAGCGAAGTTAAAATTTAAAGACCAGAATAACATATTGAGTACTTTACTATTGGTTTAGAAAAGATTTACTTTTTATTTCATGATTAGATGAAATAGATTTGTTGATTCTAGATGAAATAGCTTTGTTAATTCTTTCTACAGTAAGAATCAGCAAACTATCGCAATTTTTTCCGTAGAAAGAAAATAAATATTCTTTTTAAAAGAATAGCACGAGTTTTTTTTACATGTTCTGAACGACTTGAATACTCAACTTGACAGAGCAATTTATAGAACAATTATTGCTTTAACATTAAAAGCACAATAATTTTAATGTTAATGCAATTTTAATTTAAAACAGTTTTTTTTAAACATTTTATTCTACATATGATGCATATACATAAAAACTAAATCATCTAAAATCAAATAAAAGTTTTATAGATAAAAACTAAAAAATAAATGAAAGTGAACATTTACCAATGAAAAAACCTAAAAACTTAGAAGAAATGCTGTTAAATCATTTGTTTAATGTCTCCAAATATACATACGCTCTCTATCAAAAGTTAAGGAAATGTCAACTTGCATACAGTAAAACAAAATAATATATTTTTCCACCTTTTAAACAATAAAGTTAATTTTAAAATCATTAGTTCTCAGCTTAATTATTGTTCAGTTAAAGACACCTTTTTAGATGATATAAAGGAATTATGCAACATTCATAGTTTGAATATAAAAAACCTTAATGCTGGTTAAAAAGAAAGTTAAAATTAGGGATTCAGAAAATGTAACTCCTACAGATATTCTTCAAATTTTGGTACAAGCTGTTAAATGATGGAATGCGAAACAACAGCGACCAATTAAAAAAAAATACTTTTGAAAAAAACATGTCTAAACGATCCATTTTTATTTTATTCTTATATGCTTTTATTCTCGCTTGATTTTAAACTATACTTTTTAGTTTGTATTTTTACCTTGTAAACATATTTACAGAGGGTGATTAATAAAAGTGTAATATAAATTACTCAAAACTTTTTGACAACGTTAAAAATAGCTCAAAACGAACATGGAATGTTATGAAAGAAATTACCAAAAGACACAAACCTTCCTTAAATTTTCTACTCTAGATTAAGGTTGATGCCATAAGATTATATTAGCCAAGCACAATTCCTCATGAATTTAATAAGTTCTTTACTGAATTTGGACCTAAACCAGCAAATAAAATTTCCCACATCCAAACTGTTTTTGGCGATTTCCTGGTACCAATGAATAATTGTATAAGTTCTAACGAATTATCGTTTAGTATTATTTGATAAGCTTGTAAGAGCATTTAAATTGTTTCAAAAAAACTAAGCAATTAATGCCGATGGAATAAATGGTAACATAATTAAATTCGATAATTATTAAAAATTCTTTTTAAAGTTTTTTTAGTATCAATCAATCAAGGAGTTTTTCCTAACCAACTCAGAATGCAAAAAATACCCCATTTTTTAAAAGCGACGGCAAAGCTACTTTAACTACCGTCCCAACTATCCTACCAAGATTCGCCAAAAATTTAGAAAAAATTAAGCACAATAGGGTATATAGTTATCTAAATTAAAATAATCTATTATATCATAATCAGTAACCGCGCACCCTAATGGGCATTGGACATTCTTAGACGTCGAGTGGACATCCGCCTAAAACTAACTAACAAATTTTCTGCTTCTTTCTGATAATTCAAACTTTACTAACAGTTTTAATTTTTAAATATTTGTAACGAAATTTTAATATTTATAACGAACTTCTTATAAATATCATAACTATATATATTTGTTCGCTTTGGTTTCGATGATAAGACTGTTATGACATGCTTTCAAAAACATAACTTTTATTGTTATATCTTGTAAAAAAAAATCATATATTATCTTATTTTATTGTGTCAGGAATAACATTGTTAATTAAAAACTGTACAGCGAAACCCCATTTAAATAAAATTGAATTTTAAACATTAATTTAATTTTTATTTTAATTGGTTTTATTCTAAAATTTGGGTTTAACAAAAATATTTCCAAAAAAACGTATTCTATGATAATTATGCAAGGAAACTCTTTTGTCTGAACATTTTTTTCCGTATTGTTTACGTTTTAAATTAAATCGTTTTTAAAAATTTATAAAAAAGTATTGAATATTTAATAAGTTTAGCTATTGACATATATTAATAAATTAACCATGTATTAGAATATTCAAATTGATATTTGCAAGATTCTTTTCTTCGATATATTAAACATGTTCATAACATGCAATTCATTTTACTGAACGTTGAAATTGTACATTTTCTAAGTATTTTTTTTAACTCTACTTAAACGTAAAGGAGCTAAATTTTAGTTTTCAGACTATAGATTATGTTGATATCTTGAAGCGAGTTTGGATTATTGACAAATACAAGGTAAGATTGATCGTAGAAAAAATCGTACAAACAAATAATATTGAATTCTTAATAATCTAAATAAAGTTAACTAACTCCTTAATAAATAAATACTATATAATTATAAAATTAAAAGTATTAATTAACATAATGTAATTGTAGAAGTAAGAAACAATTAGAAAATATTAGACACTGCTTAATCATACTATATAGTATTATCTTTTATTATATTACAATTCTGTATCAGTGATATTCAACTTCTGTACAGCAGCACTTTTGTGTGCCAAATTTTAAGGGGGTTTACATATAGTACTCATATATATTTAATATTTGGTATACAATGTCCTGTATAAAATGTTCTCCTTTTTTATAAAAACATATTGTAATTTTTTACTATAAAACTTATTTTTTGTATGGTAAAAATACATTTTTTATATAGAAATTTTTTTTTTTCGCAGATAAGAAGGCTCCACCTGACATTTTCTAAGTAAACAATTTTCAGTCAAAAGCTCAGTAGTAATTTCATCAATTAAATAGTTGTCAAACTTTTTGGTTTTTAAACTTGGCCGAAAAAAAAGTCAGAAATAATTTACTATAAAGATAATAGATTGCTACTTTAGCAAAAGTATAAACATGTTAATATATATATGATAAAAATTAGTGCTCTCGATAAATTAAAAAATTAGAAAAATAAAACTATAAAACTTATAATTTTTAACAAACGGGTAAGTGAGAGTAACTTAATGGTCCGAATCTGATAAAGAAAATTTGACATTTGTAAAGAAAATCTGACATTTATAAAAAATTTCTTTCAAATTATTTGTGAAATATATTTAGGGAATTAGTTTAGAAAGTTTAGGGAAATTATAAATTTTTTATTTTGGTTAAATATGTTTCAAGCAAATTTTTTACACCAAACAATAAAACATAGATTAGTTATTCAGTTGAAAAATAAATTTTTACAATTGAAATAATTATTCATTCGTATAATAATTATAAGAAAGTTCATGACTCCTTCTATGCTAGAATTATATATAGGGCAAGATCTTGCATCAAACCCTAAATTTCTTGATTCTGAAGCCAGCGCTCTAACCAATGCAGTACGGTGCTTTTTTTTCTATTTTCGTTAGAAGATTTAAATTATAGAACACACCATAATAGTCTTTAAACCAATAAATAATTGGAGGTCAAAATTCTAGAAATTGGTAGGGTAAGCTTATAACGTCAAGCAGGTAATGAAAGAGAGCGTCAGTTGGAAATGCGAAAAGTTTTTTTCCCATTTTTTTTTTTTTTTTCATTAAAGAATAAATTTGCATATTTTGAAACGATAAAGCTATTCCGCTTTGTAATGGTGTTATGACATCTGGCATACCCTGTATCTATAAAAATACAAAAACAATTGTAAAAATCCATGGTTCTTTTTCTTAAATTTACAACATAATTTCACATAAATCTAAACAAGAAATATATACATTTTTAATTATTTTCTTTCAAACACCCAGTAATAAAGTTACAGGTGAAGTAATTTATATTAATACAGTTACAAAGGCCAGTCTTGGCTCTCCAAATATTTGTCTTTAATGCCAATAACTAGACCGACTAGACGGTTAGATCTATTTTAGGAATATTCTCCTCCATCATTGTTTTAAATTTTTCTCTTTGCTCTTTTAAGTTCTATAATTGAAACGCTTCTTTTAATATTGATATAGTATCAGCTTGCAGTTCTTTTTGAGATAGTGTGAATTTAATTTTTTTTACCTTCTATCATGCATTGAAAGATGTTCAAGCCACGAGTTTTACAAATAGCAATCACTATGTTTATAAATGATTTTTTATTTTGTGTTGCCAGTAATTGACTAATTATCAGCAAATAGCAAGTTTGATTTTTCATTAGCCTAATTAATAGGTTTACTTTATTTCGAAGAAGAGTAGTTGAAATATCTTTTATTTTAAAAAAAGAATGTAGGTAATCCAGAGATTGTTGGACCATGCCAAAATTACATCATCTGCGTATGCATTGACACCAGTGTAGATGCCATTTACCGTCGACCCTACTTTATATTCTGAGACTATTTTATTTAAGATGTTTTCAGTATAGATGCTATATAAATATGGCGATAAAATAGACCCTTGTCGCACCCCTTGTGACAAACTGAATTGGTCTGAAGTAACTCCCTGATAGGATATATTTGCAGTACCAGAACGATATAGCGATGTGATTGCGTGTACAACAGATAAAGGAAGTTTTTTTTTAAAATAGAGCTTCTCAAATAGCAAATCCCAGTTTCAAGTATCAAACGTTTTATTTGCATCTAGACTACACACATATAAAGGTGTGTTATTGTTATTATAGTTTTTAATGGTTTCGCTCAATTAAAATTCTGCGTGGAGCGTAGAGCTATTTTTTTTAAAACCAAACTGATGGGAATCTTTAATATTAGGACATAAAAGTAAAATTAGATATTCTAAAAGTGTGGCAAGAATAGGTAAAATACTAATTCCACGGTAATTATCTGGATTATTAAGAGATTTTTTATATGACTTAACAAGTGGAATAATTATTGAAGTTGATAAATCTTTGGTACCTTTTATTATGATTATATATTATCTTTGATACCTTTTGATTATGATTATATATGTCAATGAAGTTTTTGTTACTATGCATAATTTAGAATATGGTTATATTTTAAAATTACACTATTTATTAGGGTTGACAGAATTATGTGTGTAACAACAATATTTGTAGCTATTGGTAAGTGATCACTAAAATTAAAAAACGTAGGAGGAATAACTTTGGTATTTAAAAAAGATAAGGATGACTCTTTTAGAGCTGCGATGTGATCTATATACGATGAGTTAAAGAGGGTTTTATGTTGATAGGTGTATATTGGACCAGTTCCACTGATTATATCGAAAAAGGAGAGCTTATTTGATTTAATGAAACTAGTTAGATGCTTGGAGAACTTATTGCGTGTTTTATTATTTCGATTCTCAGAAGCATATACTGTTTTCAATCATACCCCGGTATGATTGAAAATCTCTCGCAATAATGCATTCATTTACGTCTTCGTAGTTTTTTATAAATACTGATAAAAACTAGATTTTGACACTTATTTTTACCTTTAATAGCGAGAATATTATCATCTTCATAAATTATGCGAGGTGAAGACAGAACAATTTTTTTAACAATGAATGCGTTTCCTCCAAAAGGTCATCCATATGCTTTTTTTTCTGCCGCATGAAAAAATAGGTTATGTCTTTTAGAAAAAACAGTTCAATATTCAAAAGCCAATGCTCCGATAGAAATATTATATCAAATGATTTGACTAGCTCAGTAATATATATGAATTCAATTTAAAACTTTGGCAGTTAAATGCACAAAAAGAAATATTTTTGGAGGTTTTACTTACTTTGTTTCCTTCCATTTTGAATGAAAATTTGGTATTTAAGTTGAGTAAGGATGTTGCCGGCAAATGAGGGTTGTTCTTTAAATGTAAAAAATATTGTTTATGGTGGTTGTACACATTGAAGCTTGTTAACTGTACTCTGATGTAGTGTTTTGCTTCTTGAGGTATCACGATGAAGCCTGAATGGTTTAACGATAATACTATTGCCCCAAACATCAGGATTTAGGATTATAACTATTTCAGTACTTTTTATCTTTACTTTGAATGAGCGATTGTATTTATTTTCACGGTTAAGCTCTACATCAATCGATTCAATTCCTATTTCGTTTTTAATGTGGTTAGACAAATCTTTTTCCGATATTGAATTACAGATCCCTCCGTCAAAGATACGAAATTCCCGCATCGTACGTTCGCCTGCAATAGAGTTTCTGTTGAACGCGATTTTATTTCCAACGCGGCTTTATTTGCTCCATTGTTTTTCTTAACTACCATAAAAGCACGATTAATTTCCTCTCTTTTTTCAATAATTTGGTGGTTGCATTTAAACCTTTTTTGCATAAGTAACTTTTGGCGGGTTAGTAAAGATGGTTTTCGTTATCGTATAACTTTAAATTAGACTCCATCATGGTAGTCTCATTATGAAGGAAATGTAAAGGCATATTATTTAAAGTATTCGAGGAATGGTTTTCTGTTGAACCAAGAGCAAAGGACTTTTCAGCATTAAGCGGTTTTTGGAATGATGAATTACTGCAGCTGTTAGAAAGCAGCGCATTTTGATTTTTTTCGATTTTTTTATACGTTTGCTGCGGTTCATCGTATTTTTCTTGTAATAAATGTAGATCGTCTCTGATTTTTTTGTTTTCTAATTTGATTGTTTTAACGCAATCGACGAGCTCTTTCAAGGTCTTTAAACAGATTTAAATCTTGTTATTGTTGTGATTGTTGACTATTTTGTTTGCAATTAGATAGCAATTTATTAAAACCCTTGTGAAGCTGTTTTTCTGTTAATGATATCGACATTACGTATATGTCATCTAGACATGTTGCAATTTTATAACGCTTTCTAAGATTTTTTCTTACAGGATCTTCAGCGTCAAGAGTAATGTTGATAGAAGATAATTGATCCATATCAAAACTTTCCAAGATCTCTGTGAAAAGTGCTACTCTCAGATTAAAAAAATCGGCTTCTCTAAATTGCGAAAACCCTTAAATGATAACATCTTTCGGATGAATGATAACATTTTTCGGATGAGAGCACATTTCTACAATACCATTTAAGTAATATTCACAGATAATATTACTTGAACTCAAATTTGAGAATATCTTACTAATTTCTCTTGGAGCCATCTTTTCATTTTCTTTTTCTTTGTTTTTACTGCGTTAAAAAGCACGTCCCTTCACAATAAGAACCATTCAGCAAAAAAAAAATAACTAATATTAGTTAAATTTTTTATCCAATGCCAAATGAATAAATGAACTTTTTTTATGGATTAAAAAATGAGCCGTTGAATAGAAGTAGTTATTCAAGTCGATCAAAAATTTAGTCAAAAAAAAAGTAGCTTAAAAATCAGTTGATCTAAATCACAGTATGTTGAAAATGTTATAACTTGATGCAAATATGAAAATGCAAAAGATGTCAATTAAAATTTAGAGTTTTCATAATCTATGATTTTAGGGAGTTCAAAATAAGTTCAGTTTTAAGTAAAAATCCATTTTTAAAAGGAATTATTGATTTTATCTTATCAGTATGTTTAAGATATTTGAAAAGATAATTTCAAATATTATAAATAGTGCATATAATTTTAAAATTAGTATATTTAACAGATTTTGGTGGCAGCATTAGCTCAAAAATGGATTATTTTTAAAATATGTATGAAAGTGTGGTAAATAAAAATGAAGCAATTCATTTGTAAATAAATACAATTCAAAAATTTTATTAAACAAAAAATAAAAAATGCTAATGCAAAAAGCATAAACGTAAATTATTGTTTTAAATATCAAATATGAGAAAATTATTGCAAGAAATGTGATCTTAAAAAACAGACACAACTCAAAGTATCATCTCCCAATCTACTTCTCAAGTGGCTGCATATATACCCAGCAGCAAAAAAATTTTTCTTGGCCTCTTGTTGGCGATATTTTCATCAAGTAGTTATAGGTTAAACTTAGAACATTGCCTTATATTCCGTTACTTTTATAGGGATACAAATCAAAAAAGCCAAAAACTTGGCATCTTAATTATAATTCTTCATTCAACTTAAAAATAATTCTTCATTCAATTATAGTAAGACTATGTTAGGACTTAGGACTAAGTTGTTAAGAATCAATCCTCAATCCTCAATCCCCAATCGTCAATCTTCAATCCTCAACCCTCAATCCTCAATCCTCAATCTTCAATCCTCAACCATCAATCCTCAACCCTCAATCTTCAATCCTCAATCTTCAATCCTCTATCTTCAATCCTCAATCTTTAATCCTCAACCATCAATCCTTAACCTCAACCCTCAATCCTAAATCTTCAATCCTCAATCCTCAATTGATTTTTCAGCTTTGTTTTCTTAAATTCTATAAGACCTTGTCAACAATTTTTTAATTTCTTTACGCTCGGTTTTCTTCGGCACTAAAATTATATTCATTTTTTAAAATTCTTGTTGTATTTTTAAGAATTTTGTAAGTAAGTTATTTGACCACTTTATTATAACAACTTTGTGTAAATCTCTTACGCAGTGCATTTACTAAATTAATGCTCAAAACTAAATACTGCTGATCTAATTTATCTAAAATAAATAAAAAACTTGTTTCCGCATTTATGAGAATTCGATTCTCTTTTGCATAATACTTTAGGACCAGGTTTCAGTAGTACAATGCAAAGAATAAAATTGTTGATTTGAGACTATTCTTTATTTGTGAAACGTTATTCTGATACAATGTCAATTAGAACTTTTTTAATATATAACTTAAATTTATGAAATTGTTTCAATATATCAATCAGACTGTTTCGCGTCGTCTGACAATCAAGAACCAACTTTAACATTTTGCCAAGTTCATGTAGGATATAATTTTGTAAATATTTATCACTTTTAACAGGAGAGTTTTTAAAGAATTTTCATTCGTAGTCAACAGTTCTTTAACTTCTTTTCCCTGCTAGCACACATGCGTTGATAAAACGAAAGGGTAATGTTGCGCTTTGCGTTGGCCTAATATCGACCGCTAAAGTTGTTTTTATATCATTTTTGTTACAAATGCGACGTTGCTAACAACCAAAAAACAACGTACGCCGAACGTTGCATTTTAAGTCGGCGTTGTGTAATATTTTACATTGATTCAACTTTGTACCTTACGTTGACACAACGTTGTATTGTACGTTTACACAACATTATATTTAATTTTATGAGAACAAGTTTTTTTTGTATTATAATATATATATATATATATATATATATATATATATATATATATATATATATATATATATATATATATATATATATATATATATATATATATATATATATATATATATATATATATATATATATATATATATATATATATATATATATATATATATATATATATATATATATATATATATATATATATATATATATATATATATATATATATATATATATATATATATATATATATATATATATATATATATATACTAGGTTGGTTGAAAAGTTCGCGGAGCGGAAATGAAAAAACAATTTTATGATTCAAAAAATGACTTTATTCTTCAGTATATTCTCCCTTAAGAGCAATACACTTTTTCCAACGATTCTCCAATTCATGTATCCCATCTCTGAAGTGCGATTCCGGAAGGCCTTCAAAATACCCATTTACGGCTGCAATGACTTCTTCATGTGATGAGAAACGCTTTCCACGTAGAAATTTTTTGAGATGTGGAAAGAGGTGGAAGTCGGACGGAGCCAGATCTGGTGAATAGGGTGGATGTTCCGAGCGTTCGTACTTTAATTCGACCAATTTCGCCTTTGCAACATCGCTGATATGAGCAGGTGCGTTGTCCTGGTGATAAATGATTTTTTTATGCAGCAAACCAGGTCTTTTCTCACGAATTTTTTTATCCAACTGGTCCAAAAGATTTTTATAATATTCACCTGTTATCGTTTTACCGGTTTGAAGGTAATCTATTAATAAAATTCCTTTCGCATCCCAAAAAACTGATGCCATAACCTTCTTTGACGATTTTGACGCCTTCACTTGCTTCGGAGCTGAACAACCGTGTTCTGTCCACTCTGCAGTTTGTTGTCGCAGCTTCGGATCATAGTGGTAAACCCAAGTCTCATCCATGGTTACGAATCGACGCACAAAATCTGTTTTATTCTTTTGAAAACGGGCCAAATGTTCTTGAGAAAGTTTTACTCGAGTGCGTTTCTGATCCAGAGTTAGCGAATGCGGCACCCATCTTGCCAACAGCTTTCTTAGACGTAATTCATCGTGCAAGATGTGTAATACCCGTTCATCTGAGATGCCCACAGCCTCAGCAATTTCACGTTTGGTCAATCGTCTATCATCCATAACCATGTCATGCACAGCATTAATCGTTTCTTCAGTAGTAGCACTTTTTGGACGTCCAGAGCGAGGGTCATCTTCAAGGCTTGAACGCCCACGTTGAAACTCCGCAGCCCATTTGCATACTGTTGTTTTTGAAGGAGCATCATCACCCAACACATTTACCATTTCATTATGAATTTCCATGGGCTTTAAACCTTTTTTCACAAAGAATTTTATTACAGCACGATGTTCAATATTTTCCATTTTAAAAAATACTATGACACGTCTAATTTCAATAGCTTGTAAACAAAGACTGAAATGACATATCGACTTGAAATTTTTTATGCGTTCATACGAAGAATGAATACGTTTAATACAGTTATAAATTTGTTTCTACTACTGCAACATAGGTGCCGCTCCGCGAACTTTTCAACCAACCTAGTATATATGTATATATATATATATATATATATATATATATATATATATATATATATATATATATATATATATATATATGTATATATATATATATATATATATATATATATATATATATATATATATATATATAAATATATATATATATATATATATATTTACATTATAAATTTATACATATATTTAAACAATATACTTATGCCCAAATAAGTTGTCTAATTTCCATGAAACAACATTACTGATGTTTATTCTTATAAGTCGTATCTGATTAAACTGGCATTATTTATGTTTGTTTTGTTTGTGATTTGATATTTCGTTACATAAGAAAGCGAATAATATATTAGCAAAATATATTTCCATAATCAACCGAAATATTAAGACTATTTAATTCTTACAAATAGTACAAGTATATATTTGTAAATCTTCCTTTTCTCAATGCAAGCACAACATTGATCCACTGAACATAATCCAACGTTATTCCTATATATATGGATCAACGTTGATCAAATGTATATAATTCAACCTTAATCCATATACATTGAATTAACGCTGGTTTATAAACATTGAATCAACGTAAACCCATTTACATTGGATCAGTGTGAAATTATACAAACTTTTGGTCAACATTGATTCATATACATTGGATCCCTATACATTGGATCGACTTTTGGGTTTAGATCGGTAAAACAGTTAATTTTTGCAATGTTTTTACATACTTTGGACCAATGCAATTATGATAACTATTTTTAATCACATTGCTATTAAGGTTTTCATCAATATAAATACGATACAACTAACATTGGATCAACGTTTTATTTGCATTGGAGAAAACAGCAGACGTTCGCGATGTATTTACATACGTTGGCCTAACGTTAGTGTGCTAGATGGGTAATTATTATTTTTCTTTTACAAGGTAACAATAAGCGCAATTTGAATTCGATGAGCATAACATATTTTTTATAGCAAGTCTATAATAAAATATGTTATGCTCAATATCAATTTCACCATTATACCTGCTTCATCAGTAGTTATGGCAACAATTTCTGTTAGGTAGTCGATATCAAAACTGTTTAGCCTTTCTGCTATTAACTCGACGCAAATATTTTGCGTTAGATGATCAGCGGATTTAAATCAATCCAAAAGTAATGTATTTTACCTCCATATTAACGTTCAAATTTAAATCTCTGGTTATTATGTTTTTATTTAAATGAACTGCGTAAATTAAATCACGTAAATTATGCGGATCCTGCTTTAATTAATGCAGGATCTCGCATGCACTAAAACAACGCGAGATTGTAGTCCTTGTTTAAGAGTACTCATCAATGGAAATATTGAATACTGCTGATGTGCAAAAAAAGTGCTTTTGTTTATTTTTGTTCATATTCATTTATTCATAATCATGTTGATTATCCTTATCAATTTAGTTTTGGATTAAAAAAGGGTTATGGGGACTATAACCCCAGGACCCCGCAGTTTTGGGGACCTAAATTTAAAGTTTTAAAAAGAAACACTAAAATAAAATTTTTGATTAATGATATGGAAAGGGGTCTCCTGCTTTAAAACATCCCCGTGGTCCAAATTGTTTTAATCCGCTACTACATTACCTTCTCCCTTCCATCTTTTCCTCAACCACAAGGACCATTACAACTGTCTGCAATTTATGTCTTATTATATAAATAAACACTTAAAAGCAAAGTTGATTATTTTTTATTTTATATATATTTAAATCAACTTTTTTGTTCAAATTTTTGAATTTTTAAAAAGATTGTGAAGAGCAAAAGCTAAAAAAGAAGCTGTAACACTAATCAATTACCACCCAAGAAGACCTGTCTACCACTTTAAAACTCCATTGCAATCTCTACCTAGCAAGCAATTGCCTTCTAATAGTCATGTCATCAGATTTTTCATGTAAGTTATTTCACTCAGAGTTGAAAGACTTTTGTCAAACAACACTAATTGTTTAGTCTATTTTGTATCAACGAAGTGCTCAAAATGTCAGGTTTATGCGTGATAGTATCTACCTGGGACTTCTGAAAATTACGTCTCTAATTATTTACTTTTTGAGTAATGATCAGTAGATTCTAGTCTCATTTTCTTCATTTTTGAAATCCAGTAAAGCTGAACAAGAATTAGTAAATGACCTAGAAGCATACAAAGCTGCTAAAGTTATCCAAAATAAAATTTACTAAAATTACAGGGAAATTACATACACCTTCTAAACCAAACAAAAAAGATTTTAGTTTGCCAAAATGTCTTGATTTTAGCGCAAAACTCAACTGCATAAACAATAGCTGAATTTTATGAAAGACTTTTTTTTGAAAATACTTATTTGTGGATAAAGTTATAAAGAAATAAAAAATATATATTATTTTGCTCATTAAATTTTTTAACTGATATGTGGTTATACATCTGCGTAAGATTAAGTATTCGTATATAAAAACGTCATTTAACTTGTTTATTTGTGTCATTCCACACGTAGCTCACGTAAAACTTTTCGGTAAGAAAATAGTGTGGCCATCTTTTTTGTGTGTGTGATCCAAATCAGTGGATTTTTGAACTTACCTAAATCTTTGTAAACGTTTGTTTCTTCTTTTTTTTTTTTTCTTTTTTCACAAAGTAAACAAGTATTATTAGATAATTTATAAATAAAATCCAAATCAACAATAACAACAAAGATCATTAAAAATTAATTAAACACAAGTGTGAACTAAAACTCACAAATCAATAATTCAATAGTTATCAATATATCAATTTTAAACATAAAATAAAATATCATTAGCATGACATATCAATCATTAACTCAAAATAATATCAATAAATAAATCATAATCAATAGTTTATTAATAATTAAATTTTTAGATAAAAAACTTAAAGACTGTAAATTGTGTTCGTCAAGATTAATTAATCCGAATATACAATAATAAAAAATTATTATTGTTTAAAATACATAATAAATAATAATAAATACATGTATATTGCTTATTTAATATCCTAGTTGTCTAAACAAATAAATTTAAAAAACAAACAAAGCATATAATATAAAAATTAAAATAAAAATAGATTAAACATTCAAAAAAAATCATATCTGTTGATTTTTTTCAAATCTTCTGTTTAATATAACATTGCCAATTTAATTTTATAATAAAGTATTAAAACATATGTCATATTTAAAAGTATAGACATATTACACATAAGGATATATTTTTATGTATACACAAATTGCTTTTATAAAAACACAAATGCCAGTTTTTTGTGAATACTTATTTTTTATGAGTACTCAAATACAAAATATTGAAGTCACCCAGAAATTGAGTGTTTTAATGTTTTATACTTATTTTCACTTTAAGTGTTCCTCGAAGTCTAAGATTTAATCAAAAAAGTACTGATAAGGGGTCGTCTATAAAGTACGTAAGCCAAAAATTTTGAAATCTGACCCCCCTACCTCCCCCTGTTGCCATGCGTACTTCTAAGTCCTTTCCCCTAAAAAATTACGTACATTTTTGAAATGCCCCTCCTAACTTTTTTTCACGATGAAAAATTTTATGGACATAAAAAAAAGTGAAGGAGGTACCTTAGCTACTTTATACGACCCAAAAGCTCTACGTATGCGGCACAGGATCCGAATTTAACAAACCTCTTCAAATATATACGCAAATATTAATTTAAATATAGTTAAATTATTTTTAGATGATGTATTCGCTTGGTCTAGCGGTTAGTTCTGCAGACTGGAGCGGTGTTCGATCCCCGGTCGAGCCAAATTGTTTTAATGACGAATCAAATAAAAATAAACTATACTTATAATACTATACTATATTATATAACTATAGGCAAACCTTTTTTTTAGGCACCCCTATTTAGTAAGTCCGTTAAAAATGAGTCCTACGCGAGATCAGTAATATCGAAAACAAAGCCTAAAACCCAGTGCCGAGGATAGGCTACCTGTACCCCTTAATTTGGGGTGAAAGAGACAAAAAA